TGTGGCCCCTTGAACTCCTCAGATTCTGAGATTCTATAATTTTATATAAACAAACTCTTACAAGGCCTCTAGAAGTTGTATGTATTTAAATTAGTTTGCTATTCTATTAAGTTGTTGCTAGGCAGGGTAACAGTTGGCAGCACAAGATGCTGACTTCTAACCCAGCTCTGTACCACGGTTTTGTCTGTTACGCCATCTCCGTTCCATGGGATCAGCTGAAGTTTACCCAGAAAGATGCTTTTGACAAACTCACTACACTCAAGATTTGTCAGCTGTCAAAAGTTATTCTTGGACTTACAAAAATCCTGCTATATTTTTGTAAGAATACACTCACTAAGCCATTTAAATCGTATACCAGGGATCCACCAAACATGTTGAAGCAAATATCATACCACAGGACAAGATGAATCTTTCTTAAAAGGAGGCGTATACTTAGATCTGGAGAAGTTTTATTATCCTCACTCCCATGAAGAAAAATTTAAGCGATATCTTTTAAAAAGAGTTTTCTGGATGTTAATTTTTCCTAACCTAGATTTTAAGAGGCAGATTCAGTAAAAAACTAAAAAAAAAAGTCATAAGCTGGCAGACCCAACACTCGTAGAAGACTGTTGGGTGGGTGAGCTTGTACCTTAACCACAGAAGCACGTAGCAACTGAGAGGTCCCTGTAGCTATTGTCTGGTCCAGTGTCTTCCAAACTTCACTTACTCCCCTGCCACTTTCAGGATTGTTCACATATCATACACTGCTCTCATTCATGTTTACTTTTAGTTTGCAGTATCTTTCTTTATACCAGCACACGTTATACCAGCCTTGAGCATTAATACCCATGAAGTCAAGGATTTGATGTGCATGATGAAGACTACTTAGATGTTTGCCAAGTTTATTTTCTCTTCTTGGTAAGACAAGATGAACGCTCTTCCCAAACTCCCTTGCATTGTTTGGCACCATGGATTATGGCCCATGGACATGGGCAGAACTAATACTGAAAACTCTCCAGCCTGGTCCTCAAGACATCCTCCATGTTCTTCCCTGCCCTCTTTCTGCCATGGTGTGACTACAGACAACAGGCTCTGAGACGCCAGAGCCCATTTTCCTAACTGCCCAGAGGAGGATTGGCCACACAAGGACCCAGTCCTGCACTGTCTGCATGTGGACGGCAAGTCAACGTTCATTCTGTTGAGACACTGGGATTTGTTAGCTGTGTTTGGTCCCCAAGACCACTGTCTGCTTGTCAGTTTGTTACAGTGAAAGGATGGAAATGAAAAGCAGCCACGGAGAAGGCCCAGACTCCGGCACAGACCGGATGCACAGGGCTCTGACTGCCCTCCCAAGCTGAGTCATGTGGACCGTAAAGCCAGGCACCACTTAAAGATGAGGATATGCTCTGAGAATGGACTCATCTAACAAATCTGTTGTGTGAACATAGAGCGTAAGTTAACAAGCTAAATGGGCTTTGACCTCACTAAGTGATCAAATCTGTGGAATGGCCACTGAATATGAGACTTGTCACTGATCGAAGAATCACCGTGTTGTTCGTGACTGCACTTAAGTCTCCCAACGAAGATATGTGACAACACGAAGTGCAGACAGTCGACTGGGAAGCTCACCGAAGTCTGGGTGTCCGGGATCTTATGAAACAATAACATAGACGTGGTTGACCTACCCATGAGGCTGATCTTAACTGCATTATCTGCACAGACTGGGCTGGTTTTTGGTGGCTGAAGATCACCATGCCAACATAAACTTTCTTCTGTGGCCCAGCACCTCAAGTGGCGAGGCTGTTGGGGAAATGGAACCCTTCTCCATCCTTTGTGAGAGTGCAAATGGATACAACTACTCTGGAAAACAGTATGAAGATTTCCCAGAAACTGAAACTACAGGTACCATTCCCCAAAGAATTAAAATCATCATCCCACAATGGTACATGCATCCCCATGTTTACAGCAGCACAATTTATAATAGCTAAATTTTGAAAATGAAGACGTTCTTAACAGCAGGATATGCCCAGGGTTTAGAGGTTATCTCCCCAGGGCTGGGCAAGAACTAAAGCTTTCTTAACCAGTCCAGACCTCCTCAGTTAATCCTTTCAGTGCACGCAGAGTATTTGTTATGCAGCATGGCCTAATCTACCCAGACTAAACTGTAATGTAGATTTTAATATAAACTCTGTGAATTAAAGATTTTTCTAATACACATGAAAACAAACACCCAGGCAAGAAAAGAAATGTGTTCTACAGTAGCACTTATACACTACTTTGGGGAACATTCGTCTGGAAATGTGGGAAAATCTCTGAGCCCAACTATACCACTGAGCTTCTCCAAAGGAAACGTCAGTGGTGTGGAAGAGAGCATTGGGCAGCTTGGGTCTGAATCAGCAGCTCACAGACAGATAGAGCAGCTTCCCTACCAAGGACATTCAAGACCAGGAGCTGCCGACCTCTCCTGCAAGCCTCTGGCCTCTGGGGAGCTTAGGTCATCTTGCAGTATCATGCCAGGTCCCAGTCCCGTCCCCTCTCTCTCCTCTAGGTCTCTCCTTCATGTCAGTCAGTTTCTTGGGTTCTGCTCCTTTACAGCAAAACAGGGTAAGAACAATACCAAGGTATAGGACCTAAGGTTGTGACTTACAAGCCAGAATCCTTAACTACCTGAGTTACTGATTTATCTTATAATTAAAACAAAAGATGGGGCCAGGGATTTAGCTCAGTGGTTCCACCACCTGCCTCGCAAGTGCTAGGTCCCAAGTTCGACCCCGGGTAAAAAAAAAAAAAAAAAAAAA